GTACGAGGACCTGGCGCTCCTGCTTATTTTTGTCCTCATCGCCAGAAAACGAGCAGGAGGAGGAGGAGGAGGAGGAGGAGGAGGAGGAGACCTCGTAGTAGCTGATGGCATTGCGGGGAAGGGACGAAATCTTCACGCCGGTGACAGCAACACCAGGTCCTGGGAGAGTGACGGAGAGTGCGGCGAAGGGAGTGTTGGCTCCTTGAGCAGCCTAGAAACCTGTCAGCTTCGACCCGTGCGCCAACAGCAGGAACAGTACCTGAGCCTCGTACGGCCCATCAACCCAGTTGGGCTCGAGGGAGAAACCACCGTCTGCAAGAGTGATGAGAAGTGTTGGGCGCAGCCAAGGTCAGATACCGAGAGTAGCCACGTTCTGGTTGATGAAGAGGATGTTGGCAACTCCACCAGTAACGATGAGGGTGTTGTACCTGACCACCAGCAGGGTCAAGGGCAGGAGAGCGAAGAGATTGACAAGCACCCGTCTTTCAAGTAGTGGTGAAGGCGATACATGCCGTTGTGGTTGAGGATGGGACCGGCACCCTACCAAAGCACAGATCACCAACCGACTCTCTAGAGCAACGAGCTTCACATTGGTGAGCGGAGGAACGACGATAGCCGAGCACTGCGGGTAAGTCACAGTTAGTAGCCTGTTATCGAGATAACAGCACAGCACGGCTGGATCACAGGGCAAGCATGCACGGTGTAGTCTGACCTGATTCCTGTACAAGAAACGGAACTGCGACCCGTCGAAGCTCTTCAAGTACTGATTCCCCGTGAAGGCATGATCGCATGATCGCAGGTCACAAGGTTTCTGAAACGCCTTGTTGAGCCCGAGGATCCTACGAACGAGATCGCCATTGCTGATAGTGTCAACTCCTTGGCCAGAGAACATGGTCAAACGCTGAACATACGGCGGCCCTCTGTCATGACGCCATTCTCCATCCTGCGCTCGGCCAGGGATAGATTGTCCTTTGGCCCAGTCGGGGTACGAGAGCACCAAGTTGTCAGCAGCCTCTCCCATCCTTCGGATGAAATGAGCTCTATCGGCATCGGTGAACTCGTTGTTGATGAAGCACTGGAAGTCAAGATCAGCCGCATTCCACCTTGTGACATGTTCATGCTACCTTGGGATATTCTGTTACACCCGGGAGGCTGCGAGACGCCTCGCCCTCGACCTTCTTGAGTCGATCGGCAGTAGCGTGACTCATGGACCTGATCGTGGGACTTAACAACTGCAATCAGTGCCGGGCTTCCTTTACCTCCCAGTGCCAGTGGAGAGCATAGAGCCCTTGTGCTCATAGCTCTTCAACATGTCGACAGCCTGACAAGGGATCAGGGCACGTGCCGATGCTTTCTCATCGCTATCTACCTCATTCAGCATGGAGTGAATTTCTTTCAGCTCGTTCTTGTTCGAGCCGGTGGACGCTGATGCTAAATCTCACTGTCAATCCTTCCATCGGATGCGATTACTAAGAATACCTTGCGCTCTTCTTCTCCTGTTCTCAAACTTTGACAACCAGCCTCGATGCCAGACCCCATTTGCATCCTGCACTTGTCGATCAGCACCCATTCATTCTTGTATAACAATCAAGCCTACCTTGTGTGGATAACCCCACCAAGCAGCCTGCACCATCCCAACGTCACATCCTCCCCTCCACAAGACAATGCTCACCTGCTGCTTGTTCATGAGAACATTCCTTTCCACTGCACCATGTTTCAGACAGATCGTGATTCAGTCATGTACAGCAACTCACCGCTAGATTCATGTACAAGTGCTAGAGCAGCCAGAGCAGCAACGAGCCCCAAAGAGACGAGAGAAGCAGCGACAGCGATGGTCCTGCGACAACGCACAACATCAAAGGTACTGGGAGAACATTGTGAAGAGAATGAAATGCACAGAACAAGTTTAGGAGTTTCTTCTTGGATACCTTCTCGTCTTCATCCTTGAGGAACCCGAGTCACCGATGTTGGATACACTGCCGTACAAGCCGGACAGCGGACCCTGTTGGTCATCAAACATCAGCACAGATCAACGTGAGTAGTGAAATCATGATAACAGGCAACATAAGAAAACAAGGTTTTTCTCTCAATGTTCTCCTCGACAAACAAAACCAAGCAAGCGAGATTTGTGTTAACACCATAAAATCCTTCGTCTCTCGTCCAGTTGGGTATGCATGTTAGCATCGTACCCCTCGCCCCGCCCCACTTTGTTTGGTGATCTCTAATGTTCTTCTTCATCCCCTGTCTCATCCCTTGAGGTAACTCCTCAACTTACGTTCTCCTTAACACTCCCTGCTTCCACCCCTTCCTCGACCTCCATCCTTTGGCGCTCCTCGTGTCCCTAGTTGCCCTCCTCTTCATACTCTTCTCCAACAGTTCCCTGCCTCCACCTCCTTCCCCTCCTCCCTCCTCTTTCCTCCCCCTCCTCCCTCCTCCCTCCTCCCTATCCTCCTTCCTCCCCCTCCTCCTTCCTCCCTCTCCCCCTCCTCCCGTTCATCTCACTGCCGTCACTCACCGCCATGACCCTTCGCTTCTAACGAGGCGGACTCCACCAACACCTATATGCACCACCTACCCCCTCCATCCGGCTATCTGTGCACCACCCCCCTTTGTGCCCTCTCGACCGAGTAACGGAAATAACGGATGGAGCCCACTGCCAAATTGTACTAGTGTAACCGATATATAACGGATACAACGACACGCAACAGGATGAGGACTCGTACAGCCGCGAGCCTGCCTCACGACAAGGGCCTACAAGCCCGAAATAGCGCAGGCGAAGGCGACATGGCGGCCTGGGGCTGGCGCGAGGCGCTGGTGATGGCAGGGCTGGGGCTCATGGTCGTATGCGTTGGTCACCTGGTGAGTGATGACAACTGAGAGAGAGCGAAGGGAAAGAGTTTGCTCGTGCTGCACTCGATAGAGTCACCGAAGAGAGCTCATCATAGTAGCACATAATGCGAACAAATTGGAGGAATGTGCGAAAGGCTTGCTGTGAGACGGGAGGATTCATAGGATGATTGACGGAAGCCTCGGCGATGCTTTCAGTGTGTTCGTGCTGCTATCATATATCAATCATCTCGTTCCTGTTCTGGCTTCCAGGCTGTAAAAGTTTGGTTGATCCTGGGTCCCGAACACCATGGCAGGGTTAGAGCCTCAGAGAGTTCATGCCAGGATTAACGATCTTGATCATCATGATCACGTAGAGTAGATGATTGTCCATGATTCCAATCAGCCAGTTCTCAGTGCTCGCCCTCTGTTGCACATGCGACCATGTTCTGAACTCTATGATTGCAGAGTGGCGTTACACCGATGGATAACCTCCTGCAAACCATTCAGTATCCTTCACAAACCGCACAATCCGCCTACAACAACCAGAACATGGCGCCATTGGGGCAGCTCCTCCCTCCCAACGTGATGCAGCAGGTCTGAACACGTGATGGTAAAACACTGGTACGTGTGTTGAAGTTTTCTGCAGATGGTTAGCTACCCGTACCAGTACAGAACGCCAGGTTCCTTGTCCTCCTTGTGTATATTCACATTAACGTTCGAATCATCTCAGTCTATCCTACGTCCAACTCACCTGCAATGGGGTATCCTCAGTACTATCAACCTGCTCCTGTACCTCAGATGTTACAAGGCGCACCGGTGAGTTCAAAAGAAACACTCGCCATGTCAGACAGCAAATATTGACATCATCGTGTTGAGCAGATCTGCCCCAACAACGGTCAGCAATGCAAGGTCACACACACAAACTCTTGTTGTCTCCGTGCTCCTCTCACATTCATGACAGAATGCTCTTTGCGAGGGAGATATGGGATGCGTGCAGCAGGACCCGTCCGGACAACTCAGATGCGCTTGTCCTCCTCCTCCTAGCACCACTGCAGCTCCCGAGACTACTCCTCCTCCTGTTGGCAGCCAGCAATGGCTGCAGCAGCACGCAGTCCAGGCTCCTGGCCCTTCCCAGGCAGCGGCAGGGATGAACTTGGCGACATACGAGTCCGGCAACGTGGCACTGCAGCTGCAGAAATATCTGCAGAGCAGGGCAGACAAGGCAGAGGTGAGCTGGGACAAGTTTTGCGGTTGAGATTCACTGATGTTGTCATGGCGCAGGTCAAGTCAAAGATCATGGCGATACAGTTGAAGGCACTGGAGAAAGCTCAACCCTGCCATCTGGTCACTCTCGACGATGGATCGGTTCAGTGTGCAGACGAGAACAAGGCTATGAAACCCACATTGCTGCGAGAGCTGGCTGGTGGGACCCTCTTGGCTGGAAACTCGACGACGACTGCACCCAACGTGCATCCTCTGTCCAAGAGTGATGTCAACCATCTCGCCAGCTTCGTGAGTCAGATTCGACAAAGCGGAGGGGTGAGGGGGATGTGCAGAGTTGTTGTTGCTGACTGCTGACTTTGTGATCAGCCTCTCACCCACTCGGAGAAGAAGAGCATGGATACCATCACTGAGAAGGCAGCCAAGTATTCCTCGGCCTCCTCCTTTGCCAGCAGCGTGATTCTGCCTATCGCCATGTTCACCATGGGCTTCCTCAACCTTCACTTCCTCTCCTAACTTTGCAAACCATGAACCTCTGAAGAAATGCAAACCGCGATTCGGTCGTTCCTATCCTCCTCTACTCCTCTTTCCATTCTTCTCACCTTGTTCTCGTCTGCACACTGAACTCGACTCCATCTCCATCTCCATTTCATCTGCTCTGCTCTGCTCTGCCACTCTGCTTTCGATGCAGCTTTGGTCCAGAGTAGTCACATAACAATCTCAGCATCGGGCAATGTTTGTAATCATCTCCTTCTTTGCTTGTCTCTGCTGTTTCACTCAGCTCGTTGTGAAAGTTTCAGATGTACTCTTTGCAGTTTCATGCTTCTCTGTCATGATAGTGTAATCATCATCCCCTAGAAATGGTTGAGATATAATGGAGGCAACATGTTCGCTGTTCGCGAGATTGAAGGTTTACTTTTATCTCACACAAAAGAGTCTGGTGTAACGTCATCACGAGACCCTAGCTTACAATGCAACATGTGCATAAAACACACAATTTCCGAAGAATGCTCTCAGATGTAAAGATCATGAAAGGCACCAGCAATGAGCTGTAGGTGTACATCACCTTCATCAACTCGACTACCTCTAGTCTTGTCACTAGCCCGATACTACTCAGCTTTGCAGTCTCACTCACAAGAAGACTTCTAGTTTCAGGATCTCTCAAACTGTCTCCGGCAGACTCTCTGTGTCAATACAAATCCAAACTAAATTGATCCAAACTAAATTGAGGGAGCAGGGACAATCGTCTTTATCCTTCTATGGAACGATAAATCTGCTACAAAGTCGGAATGCAATCCATCTATGACCAACTTTCACATCATCCCATGCAGCACAATCTGATCTGATCATTCACTTAAATTCCATCAGCTCTGACTCGAGCAAAGGGATGGAAGGGAGGGGGGGAGAGGGGGAGAGGGGGAAGAGAGGGGAAGGGGGGAAGGGAAGGATGGGGGAGGCAGAGGCAGAGGCAGAGGCAGTGGGGAGCAGGGGACGATGGCAGGGAAGAGACTTCGAGGAAGGAGTTTCCTGCCCCTCGCTCCTACCCTACCCTCTTGTGACAAAAGGCATATAAACTACCCACCCCTGCCTCTCCCACACGAAGACAATGCGCAGGGGTGCCGACGAGGACGAGGACGAGGACGAGCTGCGGGAGCTAAGGAAGGCGCGAGCAGCTCGAGGAAGAGACGATGGACCTGAGGACCTGGGAGAGGCTGCCTTCGTACCCAAGGTCAACAGGAAGGAGGCAGCAGGAGGAGCAGGGGGAGCCGGCGGAGCCGGCGGAGGCGGGCGTGGAGGACCTGAAAGGCCGATAGGGGCCATGAAGGGTCCACAGAGGAAGAGCCAGGAGGACGAGGACGAGGACGAGGACGAGGATGAGCCGCAGGTTGTGGGGGAGGTGCCGGTCGATGAGGTAGAGGTTGCAGTAGCCAACGACGATCTTCGGCTTCAGTTCCCCATGTCGTTCGCCCCTGGCAGGCACGTGGATCAGCGGGTGAGGAAGGTGAAGGAGGAGGAGGACCTCGATCTCAGCAAGGTCCACCAGCAGCTCAAGCGCATGCCAGACGGGAAGGAAGATCTCAAGAAGATGATCGACGAGGCAGAGGCTGCGGCCAAAGGAGCTCTGAAGTCGCAGTATCCCTCGCAGGAGGAGGTGGATGAGGCTGAGGAGGTTGAGGGTGTTCAAGAAGACGATAACAACAACAATTATGACGACGACGACGATGACGACGACGACGATGAGATGGATGACAGCGATGACGACGACGGGATGGGGGGTCAAGTTCCATGCACGCATGAAGCTGTGCTACGTGGACACACCAAGGCCGTGTCGACCATGGCGTTGGATCCCGCAGCTGCTCGTCTCCTGACAGGAGGATTCGACTGCAAGATCAGGATGTGGGACTTCAACGGGATGAACAACACTCTCAAGTCCTTCAGGGAGCTGACGCCCTACGAGGGTCAGACCTTGCGATCGATCCAGTACACGGCAACAGGGGATCGGTTCCTGTGTGCTACGTCGAAGAATACTGCTCTCATCTTCACCCGAGAGGGAGCAAAGCAAGCTGAGTTCCAGAAAGGAGACATGTACGTGCACGATATGTCGCAGACCAAAGGGCATGTTTCCTCCATCACAGTGGCAAGATGGAGTCCGGTGTCGAAGAATCACTGTATGACGGCAGCCATCGACGGGACAGTGAGGATATGGGATGTCAACACTTGTGATAAGAAGCAGGTGCGACGATGCGATGACGAGACTTGTAGAGATTGACTTGAGATCTCTCAGATGACTGTCATCAAGTGCAAGACTGACAGAGGTCAGCGCGCCATGCCGTATGCTGGTTGCTACACTCCAACAGGCGACATCGTAGCAGCATGCGATGATGGCTGTATCAAGGTCAAGTCCCATCTCTTCTTCTCTTTCCTCTTCCTCCCTTTCTCCTCCACCTCTCTTCTCCTCTTACCCTCTTACCCTCCCTCTCTCCTCCACCTCTCTTCCCCTCTTACCCTCGCTTCTCCTTCTCCTCGACTCCTCTGCATGTTCTCTGCTCACGGCACTCTCACAGATCTGGGACGGAAAGGCGATTTCCCGCGGATCGACCCAGAGGGCCCACAATGAGGCCAAGGGGGCCCACCAGCCAGGCACGGAGCCGTCGAGCGTGTGTGTGTCAGCGGACGGGAACATGATGCTTTCTCGAGGACGAGACGACACTCTTAAGGTGTGGGACATGCGGAAGCTGAAGGAGTCGCTTGCTGCCTTCACCGAGCTCGACAACTACTTCGAGACGACAGAGGCGATCTTCAGTCCCGGAGATCACTTGTTCCTGACGGGATCCTCTGTGAAGAAGGGCAAGGATGGCACTCCGCTGGGTGCTGGGCACGTCCATGTGTATGAGAAGAACACGCTGAAGCCCGTCAAGACTCTGAGCGTTCCTTCCGGCTCAGTTGTCAGCCTCCTCTGGCATCAGAAGATAAACCAGCTCATCGTCGGGACTGCCATGGGACAGGCTCACATCCTGTACGACCCGCGCAAGAGCGAAGCTGGTATCATGCGCGCAGTAGGAAAGCAGCCCAAGAAGGCTGACATCACCAACGTTGGCATTGGAACGGTGAGAAGGAGGAGGGAGAAGAAGGAGAGGAGAGGGAGGGAGGGAGGGAGGGAGGAGTTTCTCTGTTTGAAACTTGCTTGCAGGTGGGGCATATCTACACGCCTCATCCCTTGCCCATGTTCCGTGAGGGCAGGTATGCAACAACCTCGAAGCAAAAGCGAAAGGATCGTGCGGATCCTGTCAAGGTCGCCCATCCCAACTCACTACAACTTTGATCGTTCCATTCTCTTACTCCTTCGTTCCCCCTTCCCCCCCCCCCCCCCCTGCATCTTCTGCCTCACTTACCTTTGTTCTCACAGGCTTACCTCGAACAAGATCCTCGTGAAGCTCTGCTCAAGTATGCTGAAGTTGACAAGAATCCTGAGGTTTGCTCGATTCATCCTTATCCTTATCTCCTCCCGCCCCCGCCTCCCATCCACCCTCCTTTCTCCTCCTCCTCCTCCTCCCCTTCCTCCCCACATCCTTACGCTGCGCATGACAGTACATGGGGGCATACAAGGAGACACAACCAGAGCCCGTAAGTTTCTTTGATGTCTTGTCAAACCATTCAGCCGTTCACTTCACTTTGCCCTCTAGATCTTCGATTACTCGGAGGAGAGAAAGGAGAAAAGAGCTAAGCCCTACTTCTACTAGAAATGCCTCTGGCGTTGTACTGCAAGCCCGCTGGATCTTAAAGAGTCAACACAAAATTATCTCAGTTCCTTTGGATCAAACTCGGATCCCACAACGAGCTTTCTACCCTTCTTCTTCACTCGGAGATATTTACATGCCTGTTTGTCTTTCCATCCTTTTCCCATCACATCTCATCCGTCCTTCTCACTCAGCGCTAGCAACGCTTCTTCCAGCGAGGTTCCAAACTTCTGCACATACGCCTTGCTAGTCTCCGACAAGAGAGCGTGCAAGCTGTCGAAGTCCTTCATCTTGAGCTGGCGAGAGCATTCTTCAATCCGGTAGCCATTGACAGACACGCTAACGACAAGCTCTATTCCTTCAAGAGTCTTGATCTTCAACGCTGGCACTCCGCTACAACCGCTGATCTCCATCTCCAACCTCTTAATCGACTCCACTCGAGGCTTCACTTCTGTGATCGACGCTACAATGTCTTCATCGATCGCCTGCTCGTCATCGGACATGTCTGCTCTTGTTGCTTCTGCAGAGAATCCAAGCATCAGTTCCTCGCACAAGAAACAGCTTCTCATCTGAAACATCAACCTATCCATTTGAGGTGCCACTCACGAAAAATTCATGTTGTTGAGAAGGAGGAGCAGGAGCAGGAGCAGGAGCAGGAGCAGGAGCAGGAGGAACAGTAGTAGAAGCAGGAACAGGAGCAGAAAGAGAAGCAGGAGCAGGAGCAGGAGCAGGAGTGGGAGCAGCAGGAAGGAGCAGGAGCAGCAGCAGGAGCACGAACAGTAGTAGGAGCAGGAGCAGCAGGTGCAGCAGGTGCAGCTAGAGCAGCTGGAGCAGCAGCTGGAGCAGGAGCTGGAGCAGCAGGAGCAGGAGCACGAACAGTAGTAGGAGCAGGAGTGGGAGCAGGAGCAGGAGCAGCAGCAAGAGCAGGAGCTGGAGCTGGAGCATGAACAGAAGTAGGAGCAGGAGCGGGAGCGGGAGGAGCAGGAGCTGGAGCTGGAGCTGGAGCACGAGCACGAGCACGAGCAGTAGTAGGAGCAGGAGCAGCTGGAGCTGGAGCTGGAGCTGGAGCTGGAGCAGGAGCAGGAGCACGATCATGAGCACGAGCAGTAGTAGGAGTAGGAGGAGCTGCGTTATCGTTGGCGACAGTTGTACATCATGGCATCGAGAACGCCAAGTGAACTCTGCAGTGCATTGTAGTGGATAATTAGAGGGGGTAGGGGGTAAATTTGGGTGGGGTACATGGTGGTATTTTCCTCTTTAGATTATGTTCTTGGACAAGGTGGGGTACAACAAAAGCTGCTAAGGGTGGGTCCATTTTAAGATCATCTCGCCCACCAACCCTCCATACTGTACCCCCACTTACCCATATTTAAGTACCCCTGGTTGAGACCACCCCCATGGCACACAGGTCTGATCATTGTACCCAGCCTGTCCTAAACAATGCTTTGGTGTCACTACCCCGTGTCAAGATACCCCTACCCCTTCTTTGACCATAATACAAGGTCAGTTCCCTATTCATCTGAGTACCCCACCCCTGGGTGGGGGTATTTCCAATACCCCCACCCAGCCTGTCTCCATTTGACCGGTTGCTTCTCTACCCCCACCCCCAACTTTAAAATTAGAGGCCTATAATGCGTCCATCATCAGAGAGGATCTCTTACCCCCTACCCCCTGACAATTCACCCCTACCCCCTCTATTCTAATGAAATTCCACACCGGTAGGGTAGTACACCCCTTGCATCTCCCATCTAATCACGGGCACTGCCGATAGTCAATTGACCGGTACCTTTATCCCTATTTCACACGGATAACACCGGGTACTGGACAGGAAAATGACCCACCACCCACCTTTTATCTGTGCAACTATGTACCCCCACCTCTACAAACAAGTGGAATCCTCCTCAACTACCCCCACCTCTTCAGGTATGAGCAGAAAGGCGGGAAAACTTGCGGCGCAATGCAGTTCTGTTTCTTCATCCCTCCCTTCTGCTCCCTCCTCCTATCTACCTCCCACACGCACTCCGCACCTCCGACCTTCCTCTACCAACTTTCCCCGGCCTGTTCGTCTTTCTCTCCCTCCCTTCCACTTCTACTTCCTCCCTGTTGCGTTTCTCTAATCTCACTGCTAAATTCATTGAGAACTTTTCCTCTCATTCAGACGATGTAACGAGGGAACTTGGTTAATTCTGCCATCGATTCTCTTAGCCCGATCGTCTTTGATGTTGCTCGTTGCCAGAAATGTCTCTCTTGCTTGCTGGCTGCACCTCGTGGGAGCAATCTGGAAGGAATCCCAAGAAGGGCGAAACTCCTTCGGGTAAGTTCTGATGCCAACGGTTTTCATCTTGACCTGTAGATCAGGTGAAAATCTCAACGTCCCTACCGTCTTCGCCCCAGCCTTGAAACTGAAATTCGATTCGATCTTCACCGGGCCCTCATCTACTCATTGTATCGCACTCACAAGCGACGGGTCCTGCTACAGCTTCGGCAGGAATGAGACAGGTCAGTTGGGTCAAGGAGACAAGTCCAACAGGAGCTCGCCTACTCTGATCAAAGCTCTGGAGAATGAGACTGTTGTAAATATTGCTGTCGGAAAGACTCACACGATCTTCCTTGGAGATGCGGGGCAAGTTTGGTGCTGTGGAACGAACAAGTTTGGTGAGTGTGGAATTGGAAGAACCTCTGAGGTGGAAGACAAGCCGAAGCCCGTCAACTTCGGAAGCAAGATCGTTCACGCGGGAGCGGGAGCCGAGTTCTCCATTGCCGTGAATGAGGAAGGCAAAGTGTTTTCGTTCGGACATCCCGAGTATGGTGCGCTTGGCCATGGAACGGATGGTCGTTTCATCATCGCTACGGGCCGTCAGGGCTTCCGCGAAGTCTCTACTCCTACCCAGATCACTCAGTGGTACGAGGACGATGGTGATCTCTAGTCATGTTGACAATCTCGACAGGCATCTCTCTGATAGCAAAGGCAAAGAATTTTTGGGTGCCATTGTGGAACCGCCAGTGATCCAGCGGGTTTACTGTGGGAACAAGCACACGCTTGCTGTAGGGGATGATGGCTCCTTGTGGGCATGGGGTTACAACGGATATGGTCGTCTAGGACTGAACGACCCGCACGATCGAAAACGTCCATGCAAGGTATCATACCAACACTCCCCCATGCGTCGATGACCTCTCTCCAGGTCGAGTTTTTCCAGGGTCCCCATGCCATCAAGAACCCGGACTTGGTCGTAGCAGGCGGGGCTTCATCCGGAGCAGTCGATGGCATCGGCCAGTTGTACACTTGGGGGCAGATTAAGAAGGTCGGAGAGTCGCAGGTACGAAGGCATGATCTCTCTTGTGTTGCTGATGTTGTCTGGAAGGTTCGCCCGCATGCTGAGCACAACCTGGGAGGATGGCGCGTGCGTTCGTTGTCATTTGGAAACGAATCTTTTGCGATCTCTTGCGATGGAAACAAGGAGCCTCGCCGACCATGGGTCGAAGGCTGCGAGTCGATTCCACATGTCATCACATGGGGGACGAGCAAGTATGGCGAACTTGGGTATGGCGGAAGCAAGAAGTCGAGCGCGAACCCCGACATAGTCTCAAGCTTGACTGGCTTCACAGTGAAGAAGGTAGGGAGGGAGAGATGGTTCAGGAGGACCTCTCACAATGTTGGTACAGGTTGCTGCAGGTGTGGGCCACACTTGCTTTCTGCTGGACAAGGACGTCGACGAGTCTTCCTTTCCTGTGTATGATCCTCCCGCTGACGAGCCGTCAAGTGGGAAACGAGGGGCAGGAGCAGCGAAGGGGGCAGCGGCAGCGAAGAAAGCCAAGAAGAAGAAGTGAAGTGAACATGTGCTATGGAGTATCTGGTGTTTGCCTGACTGTAGACAACATGCTTCATGAGTATGTCTTGTCGTGTCTGGTCGATTCCTCTCTGTTTTTCTGGTTTCTTTTGTTTTGTTTTTTGATGCTCAAGGCGAAGCAATAGCATTCAAGGCATGAATAAAAGTAAGTAACTACTATTACTCCTACTCCCCCCTTCTCCTCTCCCTCCGTCGCTCCTCTCCTATCCCTCGCTTCCTCCTCCTCCCTCCCTCCCTCCCTCGTTCCCTCACGACGACGCAAACTCTCGGTTCCACTTCTCGTAATCCCCGAGGCAACTGCGAGGCACCGACGGTGACGTTGACTTGAGGGCGGCAGTCAAGTCGTCCATGCTGACCCGAAGGTCAAGCTCTCCCCTGCTCTTCATCTGCATGATCTCCTGCGGTGAGAAGCGACACGTCAGCCGCCGCATCGGCGCCATGCACGCCTCCCGGCAGACTGTGAAGATGTCGGACCCGCTGTAGCCCTCGGAGTCTGACGCGAGCTGGGGCAGGTTGACGTCAGCGTCGACGATGACGGACTTAAGGTTGATGGCGAACAGATCCCTACGAGCCTCCTGGTCCGGCAGAGCCACATAGATCCGCTTCTCAAGGCGCCGAAGCAGAGCGTCGTCGAGGTCCCAGGGCTTGTTGGTGGTGGAGAGAACCATAACGAGCTTGCCGGGCCCAGCTAGATCCCTGCTGATACCATCCATCTGAGACAGGACCTCCCCCTTGACTCTGCGCGAGGCCTCGTGCTCTGACTGGGTCCCTCGTGCTGACATGATAGAGTCAATCTCGTCCAGGAAGATGGTGCTGGGTGCGTAGTGCCGCGCCATGTTGAAGAGCACGCGGACCAGTTTCTCGCTCTCCCCGTGGTACTTGGAGATGATGGTCGAGGGCCCGACGTTGAAGAAAGTCGTCTGAGCCTGAAGACAAGTAAGAAATCTCCTGCTGCTGCTGCTGCTGCTGCTGCTGCTGCTGCTGCTGCTGCTGCTGCTGCTGCTGCTGCTCGCCTCCCTACCCCACCCACCCCCTCCTCCTCCTCCTCCTCCTCCTCCTCCTCCCCCTCCTCCTCCTCCTTCACACTCTTCTCCTCCTGTTCCTGCATCTCCTTCCCACACTCCTCCTCTCTTCACCCTCACCCTCATATCTTCTTCCTCCTTTTCCTCCAACCAACCTGGGAAGCAACTGCCTTCGCCAACAAAGTCTTGCCAGTTCCTGTCACGCCAATCAACCACTGTATGCGTTATCCTCCTTCCTTCCTCTACTTCGCTCCTCCCTTCTCTGTCAACAATTCTCCCTCTCACTCTCCCCCCTAATCCTACCTGGAGGACCGAAGAGCAGAACTCCCTTCCACGGTTCACGGATCCCAGTGTAGACATCCGGCATAAGGAGAGGGAGGACGACAGCTTCCTGCAGAATCCTCTTGGCGTCGTCCAGCTTTGCTACATCCTCCCACTTTGTGTTGAGCTTGCGGTCGAGGATGTCTCTCTCGATCATGTCCACAAACTTCGCGTCATCTCCAGTGTACTTGGCCTGAGGAGGAAGAACCGGTCTCAGCCCCTCTGAACTACCCGACCCCTGCTGCCCTCCTTGACCGGCGCTGCTGACTTTCCAATTCCGGAAGGAGGCGCGAGCGAGCGTGGCTCCGATTCCTACCAGCCCATGGAGGCTGCCGTCAGGCAGCTGGATGTCAGTGAAAATGCTCTTTCCGTCCCCAGTGACGCTGAGAGCGTTCCCTCGAGCTTGCAGGACGACGCTGATGAAGGAGGAGAGCTTGATAGACCTGTCTGTCCTCTCCTGGATAGTCTCGCACCCACCATTCTCCTGCCTCTCCAGCCTCCACACCTTCGACATCGGGGTGAAGCTGAGGGAGAGCATGCTACAAGGATTCGTCGTCTTGACCGATAGAAGTGTTAGCTCTCAGAACGCGTTTCCCGCTGTCTGTCTCAACAGATCTTCGCGCCTCACTGTCTGCAGCAGGCCGCTCACTGCGCTCTCCTCCGACTGCTCCCATGTGAAGACTGTAGGGCTGCTGCATGTCTCCGCAAGGATGGTGCCTGACCTGCCGGTCGTCCTGCTCGTTGAGTCTAACGAGGACATGCTCGCCTTCCCCTGCCTCTTCATCCATCCTACCAACTTGTCAACGGGAACTAGTTGGTAGAAGCGTCAGCGTTAACGTGCAGGAGAGAGGATGGAGGAAGAAGGGAGAGGGAAGGGGAACAGAGGGAGGAGGGAGGAGGGAGGACGAAGAACGACGGGGATCGCAGGTTTGGAGGGAAATCAGGCAGTGGAGATGAGGGACGAAGAGAGAGAGAAAGTGAAGGAGGGAGGGAAGAAACATGGAGAGAGATTTCACCGAAAGAGCTCGAGAAACGAGCAGGCTGTTGTCTCACTGGAGGTGGGCGAGGAGCAGATTGGAGGGAAGCATAGATAGCACGTTGGAGGTTGATATCCTGACTCATACCTCCAGTTGACGTGCTACTCTGACCTCTCCTATCTTGATGTACAAGTCAAGTTTATGTTTATCATCGTCTGTTGTTCTGCACCAGAGGTCAGGTGAGAAGGAATCATTTTCAAGTCAAGTATGCTTCTTCATCTTTCTGTTCTGTGAGTTGTTCGGCAATAGTGCGCTCAAGCTTCAGTTTCCTCTCCTCTACTTCTGTCGATTCGTGCTCAATTTCGTCCTCATCGTCTGTATGGTGTGTTGATATGGAATTGATTGATGCAAAACCTTGTTCTCTCTCCACCACCACCACCACCTCCTCCTCCTCCCTCCTCCTCTCCCTCCTCTCCCTCCCCCTGCCCTGCCCTTGCCCCTCCCCTCCTCTCCCTCCGCACCTCGTCCTGCATTTCGACCAGTCATCTAGATCTTTCCAATCGTTTCGTTACACTTCCGTTACACCATCGTGAAGTCACTACTGAACCGTCGGTCCCCCCGCCGGCGCCCGGGCCTGACTCCGGGACGGGCCCTGTCAGGGCCCGCCGGGCCGGGCCACCGTCCGATCATCGGAGTCCGAGGGACCTCGCCCTGGCATCATCGGGGGGCCCGGGCCAGTGAGCCTCCGAGCCTTCCCCTGTCACCGGGGCCACCGTAGGCCGGCACGCCTCGGAGTCGGAGCGGAGTCACAGTGGCATGCGAGGATGTGATGACAGTCGGACTGACGGTGCCGCTGCGCCGCTGGCCCGGGGGGGCGAGTGAAAAAAGTCTGACCACCATCCCGGGCCTGCGGGATGTTCACTGCTCAGCGGCCGGGCCCCGGGCCCCGAACTGCCCAGTGGAATAAAACGTGTGACGGTTACAGTAAGGCCCGTTTCCCGCCGGCTCCCAGATTCCAGATTTTTGACTTTATTCAAAGTGATTTGAAATTTACCCCGAAATATTCACCGGTGCTTTCAATACATACTGAGAGGGGGTGGGGTCCCCTGCCTGTTCATATTTGATGCTCCAAGCGTACCCTCCCTACCTTCTAACAATTTTTCTCGATTGAGCTAATAGTATATTTCCATATAGTGCCTGCCCATTCGAAAAGCAAAATCTGGGAAAGTCAACCGCATCGTTTCATTCTCAAATTAAAATGACTTATAGTTGAGTTCTCCAAAACATTTGGAGGAGAAAAAAAGAAATTGACTTATATTTGTATGAAAAAATCTGGAATCTGGAATCTGGGAGCCGGCGGGAAACGGGCCTAATCCAGCGACCAGGCGGAGCCCTGCACTCAGTCTAGTTGCTAGCTGGGTGGCTCAGAGGCTCTAGAGCCGGGTGGCCGAGCTGACGTCGAAGGATGCGGGACCTGACGGCAGTGACAACTCCCTTGCTGAGAGACAAGTCGGGGAGAGAAAACTTGGGCTGACGAATCCAGTCTGAAGAGCAGAGTGAGGGAGAGGAGGAGGAGAGAGGAGAGAGGAGAGAGGAGAGAGGAGAGAGGAGAGAGGAGAGAGGAGAGAGGAGAGAGGAGAGAGAAGAGAGGAGAGAGGAGAGAGGAGAGAGGAGAGAGGAGGAGGAGTGAGGAGGAGATAGAAGGAGGGAGAAAGAACTTCGGAACGTAGAGGATTTAGTAGGGAGGAGAGAGGTGGTGGTGGTGCGAAGTGAGGGGGGAGCGAGGGTTTGTACACCTGCAACGGAGAAGAGGACGAAAGTCGTCTCTTGCCCTGGATGCGGAAAGCTCTGCTCTTCTAGCTCCTGCTCCTGCTCCTGCTCCTGCTCCTGCTCCTGCTCCTGCTCCTGCTCCTCCTCTAACTCCAGCTGGTGCTGGTGCTGGTGCTCCTCCTGCTCTGTTGGATTCGACCGACAAGGTAGTCCAGCTTGCAGAAGAATTCGACCTCTCACTTCCTCCTCCTGTACGGCCTGCTGCTCCAGTCCCCAGTCCCTTTCCTTCACGTTACCACTTGCCTTCTCCTGCTGCTCCCGTTGTTGTTGTTGGTGGTGGTGGTTGTGCTGCTGCTGCTGCTGCTGCTGCTCCTCCTCCTCCTCCTTCCCCTTCTTCAACTCAGCTCCATTGCCCAACATGGTCTCCTCCTCGTTCCCCCTTCCTTCTCTCTCTCCCTCAATTTCTTCTTGTTTGCAATCCGCAAACGTCGAAGATACAATCGAACAATGCTGTTGCTGTAAACCAATTCCTCCCTTTCCTGCGCCTTGCTGAATTTGTTGGAGTTGCTGCTGCTGCTGCTGCTGCTTCTGCTGCTCTCCACTTTCATTTTCATGACGTCCTTGTCCTGGTACATACCAGCCGCTCTTTGCATTCAAACACTCCTCCTCGTCCACTTCCTCCCTGTCTTTCATCATCTCCGAGCAGAATATACATCTGATTTTCTCCCACTCCTTCCAACTTCTTGCAAATCGAAATTCTCCGCCGCAGTCCATACACATCACCACTGCCCTCCTTCTCCCGCCTGTATCATCTCCAGCTCCAACTCCCGCTGCCGCTCCCGCCCTTGCTCCCGGTCCCGCACCCGCACCCGTTCCAGCTCTTGCTCCGGCTCCGGCTCCTCCTGTTCTTCCTCCCGGCCCTGCTTCTGCTCCTTCTTTTCCTCGATATTCATTTCCTCCTGCTCCTGCTCCTGCTCCTGCTCCTGCTCCTGCTCCTGCTCCTGCTCCTGCTCCTGCTCCTGCTCCTGCTCCTGCTCCTGCTCCTGCTCCTGCTCCTGCTCCTGCTCCTGCTCCTTCACAACTTTCCAGATACAAATCTTGTCCGCCTCCTCTCTTCAACCTGCTTCCTGTCAGACCATTCCTCATTTCTTCTTCTTGTACGCCCCATCCTCCAGCTCCTACTCCACAACTTGCTGCTTCCTGTCCTGCCTCCTCTGCCCCTCCTGCTCCTTCATCCTCCTCCTCCGTCCTCCCTTTCCTGCCTCCGGGTCCTGCGGGTCCTTCTTTCCCCCCCTTCCTGTCTACTCCTCCCTGTGTTCCCCCGCCTTCATTCCTTCTGCCTCTCAGTCGCTCTGCTCCTCCGTTCCGTTGCCCTGCTCCTGCTCCTGCTCCTGCTCCATCCCCGCTTTCTCCGCCGCGATTTCTTTGCCACCGACTTTCGTCCCATCCTCTCCCTCCTCCCGTGGAAAGATTTGTAGAATTCTGTTGTTGGGACCACCCTCGTCCAGAATGCATGATGTTCGAAACATCCTGCTCCTCCTGCTCCTGCTCTTGCTCCTGCTCCTGCTCCTGCTCCTGCTCCTGCTCCTGCTCCTGCTCCTGCTCCTGCTCCTGTTCCTGCTCCTGCTCCTGCTCCTGCTGCTCCTGCTCCCCACTTGAATCTTGCATCTTTGTGTTCACGACAGCATTCTCCTCCTCCTCCTTTCCGGATCTCTCACTCCTCCTCCTCAGCTTCTCATTGCCGACAAACATTGCATCCTCGCCCTTCCTGCTGCCTGAGAGCTGGTGCTGGTGCTGGTGCTGGTGCTGGTGCTGGTGCTGGTGCTGGTGCTGGTGCTGGTGCTGGTGCTGGTGCTGGTGCTGGTGCTGGTGCTGGTGCTGGTGCTCCTCCTCCTCCCATCCCCGTTGCTGCCGCTTCCATTTCGCCGAGCAGAAGGGCTCTTGCCCAAGTCTGTCTTCACTCTGTCCATGTATCCTCAACCAGCAACGAGCCGTCTCCTCTGCTTCCGGCCGCTCCACCTGTTCCTCCTCCTCCCCGTCCCTCAGATCCTGTTGGCGATACTTCCGCCGCAGCCTATCCTGCTCCTGCTCCTGCTCCTGCTCCTGCTCCTGCTCCTGCTCCTGCTCCTGCTCCTGCTCCTGCTCCTGCTCCTGCTCCCCGCGGCCCTGTTCCTGCTTCTCCTCTTCATGCCATGGTCTGATCCTGAGCGCGCCAGCTCTTGCTCCTTCCCGGTTCCTCCTCTCACTCGCAGTGTGTTCATGAAGGAGAGAAATGACATTCTCTTTCGAGGTTGACGAGGATGCGATTTGCTGCAGCAGAGTAAATCAGCTGTTCGACATGTTCATTTACAAGCAGATGCAACTTAAATATCACAGTGACATCTAGCAACATCGCATATTAGTATGATAGTAGTCATTACATACAATCATTCATATGAAAGTACATTGCACTCATACCATATCATTCATACGACATCATCGAACAATCTCATCAACAAAAAACACTCACTGCCATCGGAACTTCAAGGGGATCACTCAGTTCCGGAGAGCAAGAAGTCGTTCCCTCCATCCAATCAAACGATCTCCAATACCTGCAACTTGATCTTTTAATCGTTATGATAGTTATCACAAGTCCTTTCGTCACCTTTCTGAGAGCGAAAGTCTCTGGTCAAGGTCGATGAAGTTTGAGCTGAACTGGATATCTTGAATATGAACTTCCCGTCTGACGGAAGGGATGAGCAAAAGGAGAGGATGGAATGCTGCTGCTGCTGCTGCTGCTGCTGCTGCTGCTGATGATGATGATGATGATGATGATGATGATGATGATGATGATGATGATGGTGGTGGTGGTGGTGGTGGTGGTGGTGTTGGTATCGGTGTTGGTGTTGGTGTTGGTGGTGCTGATGATGATCATGATGGAGGAGGAGGA